TATTGCCTTGGTATTACGGGGACGATCTCGAGGGATAAATTCCTTAATTAAGGATCCTACTGACCACAGTGATTTGTTTAACAACATATCACTGTTTTCGGTCGGAACTAATATTTTAAAAGAGGAGATTAATGAAGAAAATCTATGTAGAAATAGCAGTACTCATCAAGGTGAGAAAATACTATGTCCATCAGTTAATATTCGCAACGATTCAAATTCTGAAAATTAAGCTTCACAGTTTACGTATACCGGCGCCGCCGCAAGCTCCTTTCAAACTCCGAGAAGGAACCGCATTGTTACCGCCTACGTAAAGGAACAGCGCATCGATAATTCGTTAGCGCCAACGTCTGAAGGAAAATTAAGAGGTAATTTTGTTCCATGTACGCCTCTAACCACGAGCTCACAGTCGACTAATAATGCTTACTAATACTAAACAGCTTTGCGAAGAGAGCTTCAAATGTACCGTCAAGTTACTTCACGTAATAGTTAGACTGTCGCCTCTGTTTGAAAAAAGAATTTTTTACTTAAGTAATTTAGAAGGTGAAAAATGAATTTTATTTTAGTCACTCGTATTTGAAGAATTTCTCGGACATCTGAGAGTAAGCGTCACACCCTCTTGCATGACAAACCTTGGCCATATGTTGCAAGATCGATGCGGCACGGCTTGGCTAGCATACGGTTTCGAAATGCTAAGGAAGTGCAAAAATGGTCGATAGATTGTTGCATCGCTGACAAGCCATATCGGTCTTACGACGGTTGTAGAAATTGGTGGGAAATATTTTGATTTGCTTCAAAATCCCACAAACGCTCTACGTTTTTATTCGCCGAGATTATTCGTGTTGTTAGCGAAATAAGAGGAGATTTATCTAGAAAACTGGGTAAACATTGGTGTTTCAGAATTAAAATTTTACAGAAATCTTTTCATTTACATGAAAGCATTTTTAAATAAAATTGGCATGAATCAACATCTAAAATAAAAAAAATAACTATGTTGATATCTCGATCTATTACCGTGCTTCTTTTATTCCAAATTAAATATAAATGGAGGGTATAGACAATGTAACATGAATTTTGTCCATCTTTTGTATTTTTCAATAAAAAATGTCTGTTTCTTATTTGTTAGATATTTTAATTCGTTTTTATTTGTATTATTTCGGTAGTTATTTGCCTGCATGCAAATTACCGAATGTGCTAAAATAATCAACTGCAAGCAAAGGTTTCCTCTTCTTCTGCAGCCGATCAGACTACAAAAATTCAATGAAAAATTTGCCATCTAGCTGCTTGAAAATTCCCAATTCTTTAAACTTATTCACTGTTTCCGTTTCAGAGCACTCTGCGCATCCTAGCCGCAAATCAAATCAAGTCTTTTGCTAATCCATTTTGTCTCTTCAACGTTGGTTGGAACCCCACTTATTAACGATAGAATAAAATCAAGTAAGAAGGTTATATTTGACTCGGGACGAATCACACATATCTACCACCATTAAAATCGCCATCGCATCGTGCTTTTATTTACGGTCATAAAAAGTAAATGGAATAAAATTAACTTTCAACATGTAGTTTATTAAAAGCCGTTACCAAGAAAAAGTGATCAATCACGTTGTGACGTTCATCATAATTAATTTAGAATTAATACATTGACCTTGCTGCCTTCTACTATCCAAGTCCCAGTTATTTCATGCCCATATCGACGGCATTATTAAGCAACAAACTAAAACATTATAGTCAGGCAAGCTATTAGCTACCATACACCAGTTCGCCTAATGCGGTCATTCATACGCTTTCGTAATAATAAACCAAAAAAGGCGTGTTATTTTCTGCAAAGGCATACGTTTCATAAAAGCCAATTAGAGGAATTCTCGTATTCCAAAAACAGACCTGAGTGAATTTACTATTATGAACTAATTTCCACGAAGAAATATTGAAAATTTTGCTTTCTCTAGAGATAGTTTTCATAGAAGCGGTTATGTGAGAGATAGTTCAAAAAATTGCCATAGCCAAACCGAATTTCACATACCAATTTAGGATTGGGAAAATTGACGACTTTCCATCAACAATTTATCCACCACATTTATTTTAGAATTAGACAATAATTTGAGGATCTACAAAGCAATTATACCCTACTCCTGCTTGTAGTACAGAATACATTAAGTTTGTGTAGGCGTATATAACACAGAAGCGCTTATCATACACCCGCCGTTTATTAGATCGATCGATCATCATTCTAATCCATCTTTCGATCTAAGCCTCGTCTGTCTGTGCGGTTGTGGTCAATCTAATTTGTGTTCATGCTACAGGTCGCAATTTTTTAGATATTTTGATGAAATTTGGTCCATTGAAATGTTTTGACACAAGGACGAACAGAGCGGATCGGTCTATATTTCGACCACTCCTTCTATTTTGAAAAGTCTATGTATGGAAAAAATTTCAATTCTCAAAATTTCTTCGCAAAAGTGACTAATAAGAACACTAAACTTAACGTCATATGACCAAAAGGTTTAATTTTAAATGCTTCATGATGAAAATCGGATGGTAATTTAAGACAAAAAAATTAACTGTACCAAATTTGGATCATCTAGGCCTATTTTTGGTTCTTATCGTATATATAGATTTTCAAGAAAATTATTCCTTTGTAGGGCAGAAAAGTCTTAATATGTTACGATATGTTATGATGAAAATTGGTCCATAATAGTAGTTTGATATCATTATTAATTGTACTGAATTTGAACGCGTATCACAGTTTTTGAAACACTTGGATCTTCTTAAGGAAAGAAACTGTTATTTGCAAGGAAGTTTAATTCTTAACGTACAGTTTCATAACAGTAAGTTCATAAAAAAACAGGGTGTAATTTTTGTGTTCTATGGCAAAAATAAGAATTGTGTTAGACAATGTGGTGTAGAACGTGTAAAATGTGGTGGTCGTCCTGGCCCGACTATAATGTTTTCATTTGTTTGGAACATTCTGTCTTGTTCACCTTATTATTAACAAGCACGAAACCTCATAAAAGCGAAAAAAAAAAAATTTATCACATATAACTTTGTATGAATGTGGCCGATTTTTTCCATTTTGGCACATAAATATTAGAGTTTTTCGTGAAGTAAATGCTCTTCATCTCTCTTTCTGCCTTTCATAATTTTGTAATGCAATGAGCAATGAGCGAAAACCCAGATATTTTTGCTTAGAGAAACAGCGTTGTGTTCACTTTACACTTTGCTGGGGGTGCGTGCTCCGATCAATTTGGCCCATTCTCAATACAGTCGTGCCTGCAGAAACTTCCATTGTTCCTACCAAATTGGAAGTTGATGTCTTCATTTTTACGATTAGGGTACTGCCAATAACATACCACGCAGACGGACAGGCATGGCTTAAGCGATTCAGAATTTCACGCTGACCAAGAATATATATACTTATATATACTTATAGGAACTCAAAAGCTTTGTTTTAGGTGTTACAAACACAATGACGAAATGAGTATTCTCTTATCGTTCGGTGGTGGGTATGATAAAACCAAAAAGCAACTAAAGGAGAATTCATCGCAACACATATTTGATTTTTTGAAATCAAACCCATAGTATAATATTCACAAATTTTGTATCGCGTCGTATCGAAATCATGCGTGACAATTCACTTACAATTTACGTGGAAATTCTTTTAAAACTTAACATTGTAGCAAATATGCACAAACAGGATTATTTAAAATCATTATTAAACAAATAATTACAAAAATTATTAATTAATAACAATGTTAATTTTCCTCATACCAAATTTTCGTAAGCATTTTATAAGCAGGGTGGTTATGTATATTCCAATTAATAATTTCGTAAAAGCTAATATATGCATCTCTAAAATTTCCCATTTAAGAGATTTGGCCAGAAAATTTCTACCAGTTTAACAAATTTTGCAAGGAGATTTCCACTACATGGAATACTCTATTCTTCATACATGATACTTTTTTTATAAACCATGCAAAAATTGAAGGATTCACCAACTTGCAACACATAGTTAAAGCATCCTTTATTGGTTTGTTGAAACAAAAAGCTCACCATAACTTAGCTGAGGAAAAATAAATGCACGTAGCTGTATTTAATACGCCTCAAAATAATTTTCCGCGTGTTTTCGCTAGCCCTACAGTATAATAGATCTAACAAAATATGTTTTCGGCAATAAAATTGTTCTTAAGAAAAAAATGTCCTCCTTTTTACGCGAATGCAACTGGCTGTAAATTATATTTGAAAAAGTAAGAATACTTTACGAATCAAGAAAAAGTTCGAATCGATATGCTTGTTCAAGTATCGCGTTTTACGAGGGACGTCTGAACTGAGTCTATACGCAAGAAGATCCACCGGCATTCATGTTTTTTATTCAACTTACTTACGTCATAAACTTTTAATTGATTCATGTGCCCATATTTATCGCCTATAATTGCCAAGACGTCCTTTGAGTTGTTGAGATGGTAAATCAAGTCTAAAGCGACTAATAATGTTTATTATTATTCATACGCCATCTTTCTTTGATCATGTCCGAGGCCTTTTCGGCAATCATTATCACGATCGCGTTAGGGTGACCAGCAGGTATTGTGGGCATTATAGAAGCATCCACTACACGCAAGTTTTTAACTCCATAAACCATTAGTTGGGAATCGACCACCGCTTCTGAATCGTTCGGCGGACCCATTTTACACGTACCAACCTGGTGTTGTAAAGTGGAAGCGTAAAGTCTTAAACAACAATGCCAATATTTCCAGCTAGCAAATTTCAAATGGTTGCAACGCCAAAAAGGTCTTTGATTGAATTTAGTATCCACCCTCAGCATAGCAGAGGTTTCAGCAAGTTGTAATATCTATACGATATATTAATTTAATTTTAATTCAAAATAGTACGGCCAACATACCATTTCCACCCCCTCTACCAACGTCGCAATATCATCGGGATGTTGCAAAATATTTCCTTCCATTTTAGGCCATGCAAAAGGATTTCGAGTTTTAAGGGAAACGCGGCCACGGCTTTGAGGTCTCAACAACACGGGTTGCATGTCAAAAGCATTCTGAAAAATGTTATTGCTGTTAGCGCTCATCGCCTCCATACTTTTGTTATTTTCGTATCTATTACCCTCATGCACGTATATCTTTAAGGTACACTTCCATTTTCTGTTAACTCGCATTATCTATCAGACATCCCATTAAAACTCTCGGTTGATGAATACAGGTTAAATTTGGAATAGAACGTGAACACGGACAAAACAAGCGGAAAAATGCAACGTAGAGCTTACAGTAGATGTTGAAGTTTAATTTGATGCAAAAGGATCATCTGTTACGAAAGCTCAATACAAAATCGTCCCTAAAGACCAATTGACACTTTCATATTCGTACATTAGCTTGGGGTGGATGATATTCAAAAAAAACTCCAAGCCAAGATCATCTCCTGACTTGTTACTTACCTTTATTTCCAAGCCTTTGAAAACTTGCTGGTAAAATTCTTCGGGAAGTCCCCAAGTACTACTAGTAAATCTCAAACTGTCCGAACTTAAAGAACCAGCTCCCAAAACTATTTCCAAATTAGGATAGTTTTTATTAAAACGTGAACCTGGAGTGCTCACGAAGGCCAATCCATCAACTCCACCTGGGATTGTATAAACTCCGGTACCGGTTTCTAAATATTGCCAAATATTCCGCGGGTTCAATAATGAACGCCCATTAACAGTAGTTTCATTTGTGGTAAACACTAAACCAGGCAGTACAACATGATCTTGCAAATTATAGCCGACTTGAAGTTCGTTTAGAATAGGTACACCACATTCTCGAAGATTTTCTGCAGGCCCAATGCCAGATAGCAGTAATAATTGCGGTGATGCTACTGAGCCAGCGGATAATATAACTTCCTGACTAACTTTTATCATAAAACGTTTATTGTTTTTTACGAATTCGACACCTAAAGCTACCAATTTGTTGTTTTCTAAACTATTCTTGAAAATGATCTTTGTTACACGGCTTCTTACTGAAAGGTGGAAGTTTTTCCTATTTATAATAGGTTGCAGAAAGGCTTTACTAGTACTGCATCGTTTACCATTACGCAGCGTAGCTTGAGGCTTACCAAAACCACTTAGCTGTCCGGCGTTAACATCAATTACATTATAACCCATTTCAACACCCGATTTAAAGAAAGCGTTTAATATCCGCGACTTGTAGGTAGCATAGCTTACATTTAATGGGCCTGTGTAACCATGAAAACGTGAATTTTTCAATTTTTCAATTTCGAAATGTTCTGATCTTTTAAAATATGGCAAAACCTCATTGTAACTCCATCCCTTATTGCCCAATTTGGACCAAAGATCAAAATCTTGGTAATGACCGCGGGAGTAAAGCAGAAAATTAATAAGACTAGAACCGCCTACACCACGTCCTTTATGCCAATAACAAACACCATCTTTTAGGCCCAAGCAAGAATGCGGCGACGGATCAGTTTTATAAGCCCAATTGTAAGAAGTTTTTAGAGTAATTGCTGCTAATAGAGGTACTTCAGTAATTAGGGTTTCAAAGTCACCAGCCTCCAACAGTAAGACGGTGCTGTTCATCTCACTAAGGCGATTAGCTACCACACAACCAGCTGAACCGGCGCCCACTACTATGTAATCGTACTCTCTTGGAAAGACATTAGTGTCAATGAGGCGATTGCTTAACAAAATGGACGCCAAATTTTCAAAACTTTTAGCGACGTTAAAGTTTTGAGACAGCAGCACTACGGTTATTTTCACAAGCATTCGAAACATTTTATTTTCATATAATAAAAAATATAAAAAAATATTTAATGAATTAACACGTTATTGCTAATTATCGCAAAATATTCTGAACAGGCACAGAGCGGTTTTCGTTTACAACAAAACATCAACAAATAAAAGTGGAATTATATAGCCACGACCTTGATTTCATTAACAACACTTTAGCACAAGCACTAAGGAGAACTTAACGCTTTTGTTCATTGCAGCTGCAATGGTAGCGTAACATGTTAGCTGTTTTTAATATAATTCTTTTAGCTTTTTTGTCTTTTGGTTGATCTTTCTTTGAGCGCCCTCGTGTTTTTGTATGATCCTCCTCGGCTGTGCAGCCCATTTGCATAAAATATAGTCATCAATTCTTTTTTTATTTTGATAGGGGTAACTTTCGCTTTTGTAACAGAAAACAATTTTTTTATGTACCGCAGACGCTCTTTATAAACTACGTGTAACGAATCTGTTTTCTAACTAAATCAGTCGATTCTTGCATTGCATATTAACACCTTCGATGATAACATACGCATACGTACGCATTACTCGCCTTTTTAAAAATGTTATTGAGTAATTGTTAAGAAACTTTTATTAATACGCTTGCGTACTCATCAAGGCAGGTATATTTGATTTCTCAAACTTTTGGAATGTTTATATGCAATGAATAAGCTTCATAAGCCTAAAACATTATTGTCATATTTCTCAATTCATATGCTACTTCCCTGAGATCGCGATTAGAACATCCAAATTAGAAGGAAATTGCAAATTTTTATCCTAAGCAAGTGAGCTCAAACGAATCTATCCCATTCGATCACAATTAGTGAAAACCTACTATTTACAAATGATCGTGCTACTGTCGCTTGTGCAAAACGTTTTCCATTCGGTTACTAGGCGTAATGGTTAGTGTTTGGGTTTTTCTGTTAAATATGCGTTACAGGCTTATCTGTGCTGTTTGCAACGCATTGTAGCAGCGCCGCCATATAAGTCGAATTAAGGCAACAATGTATGAAGCCTCATTAAACGAGAAAATACGACACGCCATTTCTTATTGAAATAATAGTGTCATACATCATTATCAACAGCAATAATATACATATATACATGCATATTTACAGACACTAAGTCAAGCCCACATGAGGCTCAGTGAGTATAACTATCCATGAACGGCTATCAGATAGTACAACCCTATAACTTCGGCATAATTGACAATGTCAACTATCGTCGAATAATATAAAGTACGCCCCCTAACTGAACTTCCTCTTCCCTTCTATTGGTGTGAAGAACTAGAGAGCATCTACGAAGAATACTACTATTCCTCAGGATTAAGAAGCCAACAACTTTTGCTAATTCTTTGGGTCCCAGATGGATTAATTTCCCCGTACTTGCGTCGCGCTTCACCCTTGCTACAGTAATTTTCTGTTTTTATTTTTAGAATGTCACGCATTTGTATAAAACGTGGGCATTGTTTGTCTAACGCCGAGTGTTGATCGTTGCAATTTAAGCAGAAGCTACGCGTACAATTTGCAGCATGTGGAGGAAGACCACAGTTAGCACAAGTGGAGCACTGGTGCGTCTTTCTGCCGTACAACCCAGGCGTTGGCAGTTCTTACACCTCATAGGATTTGGAAAGTACAGTTCCACTTTACATTTATTTATTTGTTTATTTTAATTCTACTTATACATGAAACTCAACTAAACAAATAATAGTCGAGTTCAATTGACACTTAAAGCAGAACTTATATTAAATTAATAATAAAACTTGTACTTTGTACCTTTATACTTTGTACCAAGCTACATCGCTGGCGGTAGCCGATCGCGGTCAAAAATCAAAATAATTCTACCTGTAGGGGAGCGGGTTTTTTCATCATTTAGTTTGGTGAATTTGTAGACTTCAGTCACTCCTTGACTGCCCATGTCGCGAACAATGAAATTTTAATATATTTTATATGCTATATAAATAACTATAAGAGGTATTATAATGTAGATGAAGTTGTCCTTCATGTAAATTATACTAATCTTGTTCTCGAGATTTTTGACGTCCAGCATTGTTTGGTTGTCGGAAAAATTTGTTGAAAAGTTGCAGGTAACTGCAGGAACGATTCCAGGATCGTCGATCGCAGGACCAAAAATTAATTTTTGCTGCCTTAGAAAAATAAAGGCAGATTACTGCATAGATTCCAGGATTGTTTTGGATAGGATCACCATGTAATAAATTTGAATTTATATTGGATGATGTGTGTACAAATATTTTATTGAGAGAGATTCCCTGTGAATCTTTGCCAAGTGCGACCAAAAGTTCTTGGTGTAATGCTGCTCGGCTTCAATACGCCAGGTCAATTCGTCTCTTAAAAATGCCAAACGAGTTCGGCATGAGATGGCCCCTGTAAAATTTAGGCGGATGGAACGACTTTTGTTAATGCAGCGGATTGATACGCTTATAATAAATTGTGTTAAAACAATTGCTTTATTAAGTTTTTACCCGGCTATTTATACATAATTCTACAGGTATTATAATGCTAACGTAATCAATAATTTAATTGGGGCGCCATTTCGTAATGCAATACTCAGCCAGTTGAAGTGTGACATAATGTTTGTTTTTCCTTTTGCAAAAGAATTATGCTGAATTTGCATAATTCTGTCACACTTTAAAGTGGATGCATATAACGATATGCGATCACACTACAATTCAAACTGCAGACTACGTTAACCTCTCCCTTTCCTTTGACTTAATAAGTAGTAGTAAACTTCTTCAGTTTGATTTTGTGAACCTGTGTAAATGGGGTTAAATCAATTGTATGGTGCTGAATTCATAAAAATGCAAGAAGATGTTCCTTTCGTGGTGTAATACGTTGCCTTCTTATTATAGTGTGACATCCTGCGAAATCTCTGCAATTACAAAGACTTAGAGGTTATTTTCAACTCAATACTCAAGTTTGATATTCATATAGACTTTCCCTTCTAGGGTTTATAAAAACATAGTCTAAAGAATTCAATGATTTATATATTACCACGTGCTTATATACATCTTTAGTTAGACCAACTCTTGAACAGTTGTCGGTAGTTTGTCTTCTTAGTTATAGATGCCATGTTGATCTGTTGGTGTCTGTTCACCGGGACTTCCTGCTGTTTGTTTTGCTTGCTTTGCAACGATATCCTGCCCTACCTTTTTCACTGCATAATATTAGATTGAAGCACATCGATTTGACTCCCCTTAATTGAAAACAGTAAGATGCCAGATCAAACGTATGATTCGTGGGTTATGAATGGCCCTAGGAAAGACTTGTTATTTTAATCATATTTCATTGAGTTTAATTTGCTGACTTTATCTTTATGTATGCGGCGCTTACTGTTCAGGTCTTTGGTTGACAGCTTTGTAGACAATGGTGACTATAGCTTCTCTATTAAATCAACCTAATGATGTTTTGCGTTATCAAGATTTTGGAAAAAGGAAAACATGCATTAGAAGAGAAACCCTGGAATGACCATTATTACTGTTTCGATACTGCACCTGGGCACAAAGATACAATTATAGCCGATCAATCGCGTGGTCATTGTTTACACTTCTCAATAATTGAAAATGTGTTTATTTATTAACAGCTGCCGCATGTATAAAAATTGGGTTCTTTAGAGATTGTATTGTTTGTACCTGGTTTGTGGATTATCATGATAATGAATCGATGATTTTGAATTCAATTGAATTAACAACATATATTGAATTGTATATTGAATTTTGATTGATCTCTGATTCAAAGAATAATTTAATAATAATGGTAATGGATTTTACAAAACGCATTTTATACACTAAAATATAATTACAAATAATGCTTACTAATAATTACAATTAGGTAAAATATACAAGCTAACGAAAATTTTATCTTCATTTCCTTTATAATGCCTTTCGCACGCTAATCACATTACTGATTCGTCGACTTGTCCACAAAACTACTACTACTGTATTGCAATTTTGTCTACAAATACCATAAGCTTAAGAATACTCTTCTCGGTAATAAATATTATCTTCGTATATCAACATTAAAAGCTGAAAACCAAACAATCCTTTTTCCGCAATGGAATCAATTATCGTCTTTATTATCTTGATGATATGGTTATAATAAGACTTTTTATCTCAGAGTTTCTTTAGTTTGTTTTGAGTTTTTGACATAGTTCTTCGGACAATCCTTTTTGGAAAGTTTTTCCAAAAAACGCTATAGAGCGAAGTCATTAAAGAGACAAACAGAATGAAAGAAAAATCGGGTGAAAAAATTGATTTAAAATGTATTTGATAACTTTTTAGTTATTGTTATTCCAACTGTCTGAGTTTCTTTGGAAACAACAATTTGACAATAGGATTTTCATCTTATGCATTGCTGTGAATTGATATTCAACTTCTGATACAATAGTGAAAAGAGGTAGAGTTTGCAGATATTTCTTACAAGAGATATTACAAATAAAATTATAGGA